GAACCGAGACCTTCGTTCTCCCTTCTTTGCTTTGATCTCACTTTTCTTTTGACTGAAAGAATCATCTGTAAGGTCATACCCGCTCGCTGTGCCACACGAGTGTGTGCACTGACTGCTGCCCCAGCCGGGAACCGCTCGCTCATGTCTCCTCTTCTGCAGACGATAGTTATGAATGACTGCATCATCCGCGGTGACCTGGCGAACGTGCGGGTTGGGAGGCACTGCGTGGTGAAAAGCCGCAGCGTCATCAGGCCGCCCTTCAAGAAGTTCAGCAAAGGGTAAGAGGTCCCTTTCCCTTAGGGAGACTGAGGTTAAGCTCCGTGGTCTGAAAGGGACATTGGCGTGGCTGAGGTGTGTATTTGGAGGGCAGTGTTCCTTCTGCAGCAGCTGCAGGTGTGCATCCCTCAAAACCTGCCTTTTCCTCGAAGTCCAGCTTTGCCCTGAGGATTTGCATTCCCATCAGCCAGTAACATGGAAATAGATGGGACATGTTCAAATAGCAAGGTGTTTTGGGGCCTCACAGTGTTGTGGATCAGTCTGTCTGTTGTACAAATACCTCTCCTCTTGCAGGGTGGCTTTTTTCCCTCTCCACATTGGTGATCATGTCTTCATAGAAGAGGACTGTGTGGTCAATGCAGCCCAGATCGGTTCCTATGTCCACATAGGCAAGAACTGTGTCATTGTGAGTGCCATTTCCCAGTCTTTTCCTTAAACTCTGGAGTACTGTTGAGCTTTGTAACCAAAGCTTCCTTCCACAAACCCCTCTTCCTTCTCCACTTTTGCTCTTCTGAGGACAGCAGGTTCCGCTGACCACTGTTAGGAAAATCTGTCCCAGTGATACATGCCTGTAGTTGTGCTTCTTTGTAAATAACACAGAATAAGCAAGGGTGCTGTTTGCTGAGCTGGTGAAGGCCTGGCTGCGTTACTCCATGGCTCGGGTTTTAGGCTCCAGTTTGCACACTGATGTGTGTTAACATTCAATTGCCAGCACATGTGCTAGTTGAGAGCAAATGGACAATCCTCCTCAAGAAAGGGAAAAAGTTAATTCTGTTGGGAGGAACATTCAGTCAGGATGAAGACCTGTTCCTGTGATCCCTTATGCAGAATGCTTTTAGCAGTTAAACTTGTGGAAGTTCAGGTAACTCATCGGTCATAAGCAAAAACAAATAGTGTTTTAAGCATAAGCTTTTCCTAATCTCTGTTTTAGGGCCGCAGATGCGTTTTGAAAGACTGCTGCAAAATCTTGGACAACACAGTCCTACCTCCTGAAACAGTCGTCCCACCTTTCACGGTGTTCTCGGGCTGCCCAGGTACGCTCCCTCCAGCTTTACTTGCACAGAAGTGTGGATAATGTGGATGTGCTTGTTTTAAATGGAGATTGCTATGACAGAGTTGCCCATTAGCATTTAGTGCCTAGAAATAAAGGTGTGGGGCACTTGGTGAACTGAAAAGTAACAACCTTACTTTGCTCCTCCTCCTTCTGTGGTTTCTGATTTTGCAGGAGGTTCAGTGGTTCAGACTGGAGGAAGTCCACTGGCTCCTTATTCCCATGTTAGTAGGGAGGGAGGTCAAACTGTGGTATATGAACGTGTAGTTCCTGCCCCTTGACGTGGCTGTGCTGGAGATCTCGATGTATGAATTGCACACTCCATCCTTTACCTTCTGATGGTGCTTTGTGTGTGAGCTGTAAGGACCCAGCTGAGCAGCCTGGGGGTACAGTGGGATCAACCGTACTATGTAGCTCCACTCGAGAGAAGAGCCCTTTGCTGTTCCATTTGTATTTACCTACAATTCAGTCCAAGTTGCTGCTTTGAATGTTGAATATAAGCTTATTTTCTGCTTTCTCCTGCAAGAGCACTGATGGTCAAACTCTTGTTCTTCTTCCAGGACTCTTCTCTGGGGAACTCCCGGAATGTACCCAGGAGCTCATGATTGACGTTACAAAGAGCTATTACCAGAAGTTCCTGCCACTCACACAGGTCTAGTAGCCCATTTCATGTCTCAGAGCAGTAAAGGCACTCAGGAGCGTTCAGGGGGTAGGGAGGGGGGTTGTTCAGTGAGACCTTGGCCCTCGCTGTTCTGAGCACTCTGTGAGTGTTCCTCAGCACTGACGGTCTGGCCAAGCAGCCTCCGGTGAGAGCTGCTGTGTCCTGTGCTTTAACCTTTGTGTGCTCATTTGGATGTCATTCGTTCCACGTTGTCTGAATCATGCCAGTAAATGTTCTGCAGTTGGGAGAGCTGATACAGCTCCCTTTGGGGCAGCATCTCCTTGTTGCAGCTGGGGAGCAAGGCTAGAAGCAGTCTCCATCCTCGAGCAGAAGGGCTGTGTGGCTGATGTGTGTGTTGGGGCAGTTTCTTACTAGGCTCATAGATCCAGTGCTTCCATTGGAAAAATAGGTGCTGTTCTGTAGGGCTGTGAGTTGAGGTGGATGGCCTCTGCCTTTTCTCCTTGTGGACTGAGATTCTCTCCTATAGGGACAGGATATTGTTCATCACCTGGGGATTTGCTTTAGGACTTCTGGCTGACATTGGAACCTGTCTTTCCATGCCCTGCCTGGCAGGACTTTTAATAACTTTTAGCTCTTCAAGCAGACATGAGCCCTGTGCTCTTGCCTGTCACGCAGGGTTGTCATTCGTGTGGCCAGTGCATGTTCTACTTCCTGAGCACTGCAGACCACAAAGAGCCAAAGGGCTTTGGGAAGAGGGTTCACTCCATGTCAGCCACAGAGCTCAGCACAGCAGAAATAGGGTAACTAAAAGCAGGAACCAGCGGAGGGTGAGAGAATGCTGCACTGTCCCCATTTATTACCCAGTGTGTATATTTGCAGGAAGCTCTTTGGTGCTTTTCTGCATTATTAAACCTAAGGAGGAGATTCAGACTTCCTGGAAAGAGTGCACG